AAAAGGAAAAAAACAAATGTCGAGTGGAATGTGACATTGCGGTAAAACTGGTAATAACGAGAATTCAAGGAAACCGTGCCGTCGTCTCCGAATCTGAGTGGATGTTTGCTTTAAGAGATTTAATTAGTAATAATTACGAATGATGAGGATTAATTAATATGACGATATTTTACAGATCTACACAAACTACAACAATTAACTTAAATAATGTTACAAACGGCTTTTAGTTGGAGCAGGTTAACTTAGGCCTTAAAACTTTTATTTTTTTGTTTGTGTGTTAATTCATACTAGCTTGTAGTACTTCTTATTTTTAAATCATCAACAGTTATCCATTCGGATTCAAAATATTGTCGTTTCAGGATTCAAAATAGTATCTGTCATAATTTGATTCTATATTCAAACGAAAGTAATGTAGTGATGGATTTACCATCAGTGAAAGAAAGAATGAAACATTGCTAAGTTCACGCACGGGCACAAAAGTCAAAAAGCTGAGGAGCTCTATAAGTATATTAATGTCCCTAAAATGCGATGCTTTGGGATTCGATAATCATGACTATTCGTGGATAATGATTCCGAACATTTTTATTTATTTTTATTACCGATCATACAGGTGGTGTATGACTAATTGACAATCTATATTGGAGAAAACAACGATCACACATCATTTTCGAAGGAATTTAGTAGTTTGACATATTCAGCACATTTTAAATTTTTTTATTTAGTTGGTTAATTAGTTTTTTTTGCAGCTAGGCACATGTAAAAAATCAGTAATAAATGTAAACTTATTACTAAAAAGCTTAAATTTTTGAAAAAAGTAATCATGATACATAGACATCTCCTACAAATTCACCCAAATTCATCTCAGTTGAATCTCATTTTTAATTATGCAATAAATATTTTAAAATGTAAGAATGTTAACCTGTCTAATTATTTCAAATTTCATTACTCAAGTTTGTTTAGAGTGTTCTACCAACTAATTATAGCGCCAAAACTTTCAGTTTACCGGCATACAATTTTACACTAATATGGAAATTACATCTTTGTTTCTATTTTGGATGGTTCCATATAATCACTCGATGCTCCTATCACTCTCTCTATATTTATTTTTGGGCATGGTCGTGAATCCTCTCAATATTACAAATATAATCCGTGACTAAAAAAAGTAATGAATTGTTACTAACAATGAAAATATTATCAAACTTTAGGTTTACACAATTTAAACATAGATTGGATTATAATTAAAAATAAGATGAATAAAATTACATAAAATACTTCCACAAATAGAAGAAATGATGAATACAAATCTCATTGGTTACACACAAAGCCCTCGCATTCACTTATTCTTCTACCCTCATATCCCTCAACACTCCTCATGAACAAAGACCCTTTTGATACTAAAAAGTAAAAAACATAAATTACCATCAAACCCAATTATGAAATATATTTTTTTTTAAACCCGAAAAGAAGGAATAAAAAGACAATCTGTAAACTAAGTTCTGACAACTTTAACTAAAGTACCCCATGTGAGAAAAAACAAAAGATCATCAAAGTAAAAATATAATAGAATAAGGAGGTAAAAAAAGTGAAAAAGAGAAGAAAGCAAATAAGTTCATGATCTCTTTTTAACCTTTTTCACCATGAAGATCCTCCTGTGTTACTGAACATCCCATTCCAGTATGTATTATTACCTTGACTCTTCTCTTGGGTTGTGCTTGAAAGCTCTTTCATGTCTGAAAAAGGGAACAAAACCCTACTTGCTCCATTCATGTCATCATTATTCTCTTCAGCTCTTTGGTTACTGTTGATGGTGTTATGTCCATTATTCCCTTGATGATGATCGATGGAGAATGATAGGTTATTGTTACCCTGCTTGTAATCAGCCATTGTTGGAAACCCTAAAGATGAGTAAAGAAGTGAGTTTGAATCCATCATTTGACCAGGCAAGAACGTATTCATGCCTCTTGAAGAGACTCCATTGGATCTTAAAAGCTCAAGAGCTGAGACAGGAGATGATGAAGCATAGACTGAGGATGAAGTATTGTTGTTCTCCATCTTTGGCATATGAAGAAACTGAGACATACCATGATGATGATCTTGCATGACAGGGAAAGACAACAAGTTGAGATCTTTTGGAGACTTATTAGGGATCTGGCTTGAGAAAAGAATCGGTGGGTTTAGATCTGGAAGCTTGGGATTGGCAGGTGAAGCTAATGGTGTTGAGGATCTCTTGTTCTTTCTTGAGCTGCCTCCGACAGGGACGTTACGAAGAGAGCCACCTTCGGTCCAATACCTTCTACAACCTTTGCAGAAGTATCTTGGTTGCGTGAGACTGTAGTTGTTGTAATAACAAAACTTTGTGTTCGTTGAGTTGCATCTTGGACAGTTTACTTTCTCTTGTGGCCTCGCCTTTCTATTTTCCATCGTAGTAGCCGCCGTGTTGTTGTTATTTCCGCCGGAGCCGCC